GGGGTGATCAGTGATGGTATTTCCCTGACCGTGATGGTATCTTCCCTGACATCCCTCCTCTCTTAAGCTGTTCTTATACTATTTTTTACCTTTCAGGTGGAGCTTGAGGGACTCTAGTCATACATACTTTTGTTATGATTGGTGTAAAATTTTCTCACTTTGCTTTTAAAGGTATAGACTAGGAAAAATTCAGAGTGCAAGCTCAGTGAGGGGTGGTTGCATCTTGGAGGCGGGTAGCTTTTGGGATGGAGGTGTGTTTTGGTATTATAATGAGATTATAATGAGCAAAGTTCACCCAAAGTATAGCATTTTGTCAAAAAAAAGTCAGATGGTTGGCTCAGGGTAACAATTAGGCAGCTTATCAGTTCCATATGACCTTCAAGTTCTCATTTTATCACAGAGTTTGGCCGTGGTGTCTCCACTCCGCTCCATCCCCCGTGTAGTTTCTCTTAGAGTCAGTGCATCAGGGTCCCCTGGTGTTACCAACATCTAAGGTTGCCTAGGGAACCTCTGTGGAACGTATCCCTTGTACACCAGCTGCACTCTGCCCTGAAAGTTTTGTCGATGCTGTACCTTTCCTTGAAATGTGAATATAAGTTTAATTTTCAAGTCACCTCCAGCAATTATTCCACAAGGGGTTGGAAGGGACCTTCAGAGATCATCTAGTCCAACCCCCCTGGCCAAAGCAGGTTCACCTAGAGCAGGTTTGACAGGAATGCATCCAGGTGGGTTTTGAATATCTCCAGAGAAGGAGACTCCACAACCTCTCTGGGCAGCCTGTTCCGGTGCCACTGAGAAAAAGGAAAATTTGTGACAATGAAAATGGAGAAGTATCTTTTCTTTTTGATTTATGTGGGGTTTAATTTTATAAAATAAGCCAGTTTAAGACCAACATAAGCGTTTATTGTTATACAATTTATAACCCATCTACTTCCATATATATATATTCCTCCAATCCTGCAGGCAGAAATAGGTGCACAGGCCCCTGCAACCTCTGCAGTCTCTCACCATCAGAGGAACCTCCACTGTTTTCCCCATTCCCTCACACCTTGTAGGCATTTTGTGCTTGATCAAGTGCCACCCCCTCCGCCAGGCTCATTAGAAAGACTAAATCCTCATCTTTTGGGTTGATCCCACATTCATTCTGGGATGGACCCCTAAAGACAAACATGGGTATTTCTTTGATGGAACCTGAGCTCTCACTCAAGGAGCTTACCCCACCAGCCTGCTCCCAGAGCCACTGACCGGAGTAGAATCCATTGATTTCCCAGGTCTTTGAAATACATGGGAGAGATTATTTGAAGGTTGACTGTATTCTGAAATAAAATTTACAATCTCAAAACTTTAACCTGGCCAGTCTCTTTTATTTCCTTCCCTGAGGTATAATGCAAATTGGACAATTATTTGCCATGGAATTGTTTTTCCAAGATAAAAACAGTTTCCATTAAACATGTATTCTGAGGCAACAGAGATGCAACAAAGTCTTTATTAGCCTTTTAAATAACAGGACAAAATTTACATCTAATTCAATTACTTGACTAAAAATTAATTTGACTCAGGCTTTCAAGTGAAAAAACATTCTCTGCAAAAAGAAAGCTATAGTACAAGAAGAAATTCTTTGAGTCCCATTCAAATCACTGAGGAAATAGGTCTTTACTTATTTCAAGAAAATGACTGTATATTTTTGCAGATATGCACTGCTAAGCAGATGGTCTGCAATAAAATTGTCCTGACATTATTTGCAGGAAAAAGAAACCTAAAATGTGTTTCCAGACAAAGGAAAACAGAGAATGTTATATTTTATATTGTCTATCACAGTTTTATTTCACTATTCCCAACTTATTTATCAGACAGGCCCTAGCAAATATAAATAACTCTGGTTACCTCTTATAAGGTAATCAAGTTTAGTTGCATCGATATATATGCACTCCTCAAAAGTACTGAGTAGTAAAAGATTAAGTATTCATAAGGTAAATTTTAAATGGATCTGGGCAGAAGATAAGCAGTCACTATTATTTTACAGGGAGGTATTTGAAAAGATAAAAATCCTGCACTGCACTTTGAAATGTATTTTATACTGTCTGATATTTCCAGTTTTTCAGAGTAATGTCTGAGACACTCAGGAGATTTATCCTGAATCAACATTAACAAGCCATTGCATTACAGTAATTATATTACTGAACTTGACTAAAAGGTGTAGATGTACATATACAATACCCGCATAAAAGTGGCAGGAGCCAGGGAGAAACAGAGCAACGTCATAAAGATTGTCTGCTCAGTTTTACAAATGATGAAGAACTATACCCTGAAAGCAGCTTTGCCACTGCTCCGTCCTTGCCAGTTTTAAACGTCCCAAAGTGACTGAGAACTTTTAGAACACTTAGAGAAAAAAATCTAGATAGAAAGACATGTATTTGTACTTTTTATCTAACTGACAATTAGATTGGAAATCTTTAGAACCCATCAGAAAAAAACCACTGAAATGGAAAACAGTCGCAGACGTATTTCTCTAGCTATATATGAGCATGCTGCCTTCTCAGACCAACATGGTTGTGATGAGTTGACCTTGGCTGGTCACCAAAGCTGCTCTATCACTCCCCATCCTCAACTGGACAGGGGGGAGAAAATACGATGAAAGGCTCATGGATCAAGATAAGGACAGGGAGAGTTCACTCAGCAATTACCGTCATGGGCAAAACAGACTCAACTCAGGGAAATTAATTTAACTTATTACCAATCAAATCAGAGTAGGATAATGAGAAATAAGAACAAATCTTAAAACACCTTCCCCTCACCCCTCCCTTCTTCCCGGGCTCAACTTCACTCCTGATTTCTTTACCTCCTTCCCCCGAGCGGCACAGGGGGACAGGGAATGGGGGTTGGGGTCAGTTCATAGCGCTTTTTCTCTGCCTCTCCTTCTTCCTCACACTCTTCCCCTGCTCCAGCGTGGGGTCTCACTCACAGGAGACAGTCATCCACGAACTTCTCCAATGTGGGTCCTTTCCATGGGGTGCAGTCCTTCAGGAACGGATTGCTCCAGCATGTGTCCCCCACGGGGTCACAGGTTTTGCCAGAAAACCTTCTCCATCATGGGCTCCTCTCCATGGGGTCACAGGTCCTGCCAGGAGCCTGCTCTAGCGCAGGCTCTCCACAAGGTCACGGCCTCCTTCGGGTGCATCCACCTGCTCCCGTGTGGGGTCCTCCATGGGCTGCAGGGTGGATATCTGCTCTACCGTGCATCTCCATGGGCTGCATCAGGATAACCCGTGTCACCATGGTCTTCACCATGGGCTGGAATCTCTGCTCCAGCACCTGGAGCACCTCCCCCCCTCCTTCTTCACTGCATAGTTGTTTCTCTCACATATTCTCACTCCTCTCTTCTGGCTGCTGTTGTGCAGCAGTTTTTTCCCCCTTCTTAAATATGTTATCACAGAGATGCTACCACCGTTGCTGACTGGTTTAGCTTTGGCCAGCGGCGGGTCCGTCTTGGAGCCAGCTGGAACTGGCTGTGTCTGACACAGGGGCAGCTTCTAGCAGCTTCTCACAGAAGCCACCCCTGTAGCCCCCCTGCTACCAAAACCTTGCCATGCAAACCCAATACAGTGGTCCTCTCACCATGCAAAGCACTCACTCCTCACACCAGCTCCTGCCTCTGACTCTGTATTTGGATACCATGAGAAGCCTCTGCACCGGGCCGTGCCCTGCTACCAGTTCTGCCATCTGTACATCCTCCCCGGCCTCTGCAGGCACAGAGCCGTGCAGGCGAATAATCACAGGCTCACTAGAATTACTGAAGCTTCAACTAACCTCCAGAAACTGCTTAATGGATAGTAAGTCTTGGCAAGAAGCTTAGCAGGAAGTGATCTGATCTTATTTGACATCCTACAGGTCATAAGTTACTAATCTCTGAATATCAAAGAAATGTTGCCCATTAAAGACTCCCTTTGCACTGGAGTCAAAACAGAAGTGAAATTAGGATGGGTATTTTTGAAAGTGGGATCTAGAGAAACAGTCTAATTACAGAGAGCAACATTAAAGACAGCCTACTGCGAATTGAACTGTTCTCTCAGCTTCATCTGCTGTGGCATACATGGATCCTAAGCGAGGGACATTAACCCAAACAAGATGGAGCACAACTCTAGATTTTTTCTTTCACAACTTTGGTTTCAGTGTTGCAGCTAAAAGCTTTGACATGCATCCTACTAAAATATGCTCTTCCCCCCCTTAAGCTTGTGTGGTTTTGGAGCTCTGAAAAGTTCATAGTATTGTCTCTCAAACCAAATATAGCAGCATGTGCTGGGGAGCCTGTACCCAAACATGCCTAGACAACTGCCCTGTCCTGCTTCAAGGATCATCAGGGAAGCTAGGGTTTGAGGGCAGGCACAGACTAATACCGCTCTGGCTGGGAAAGGGTAGAAGAGGAACACCTCAGAGGTCCAAGCAATACACAGCTCTGATCACTGAATTGCCACTGATTCACTGAAAGTCAGGGTCATGCTACATCCCTAAAACTATCCTGCTTGTCATATCACATTTGAACAGCAAAAGCTTTCCTGTTTTGAATGAGACAATATTGATGTTAATAAATTGTGCTAATATTTAATTTCATTAGCTAATCTTATTGAGATTAGTTGAGTATCTATCTTGGAACACAGATGATTATGCTTTTTTGTCAAACCAAAGACTTACATAAACTGAGTTCCATAAGAAAGAGTAGCACAAATCTGAGTAACCAGCAGCATTAGGAAACCAGTCACTGTTCTTTCCATTTATTTTTTCTAATTAAATCCACTAGAAAAGGAACAGTTGTTCCAAAGATTTTTGGAACTGCTAAATATATTTCATGTGGCATTTGAACCACCATACAAAAGATCATAAAATTTACCACACAGAAAACTATAAAACATCTCAAAAGCTAAGACAGATGATACTCAAACATTTTAACAAAATAACACATTCGATATTCAAGTTTGGGGACCAGATTTTGACAAGCTTGCAAAATGGTAATTAAGAATAAATTCAACTTCCATGGTTTCAGAAAGCATAGGTTCACTGATGAAGCAAAAAGCCAAGGTATGCAAAAGTAGAGCATAAAACCATTTTAGAACATCTTTAAACCATACTCTTCCCTGCAAACATCCATTCCCCCTGATGCAGACACCTATGCAGCATCTATACTTTCAGAATCATCGTTCACATAACACAATCCAAAATCCCAAGTTTATGAAAAGTCTATAGGTAAGATATTCCAATACATTACCTTCCTTCAATTTCCTTCCTGAAGAAATCCACAGGAAAATTGCAAGTTAGAATCCAGAAATGCATCCAAGAATAGAGGCACAACCATATACACACAGAAAAGTTTATAAGCTATTCCTATTTGACTAAAGTTTTGAAATATCAATCTATTTTTAAATAGATGACAATATAATCATTCTCGCATTTCATTCACTGACTAATCTAGATCTGCTTAATGCTTTACCCCTTTCTGGCAGCCTTCTATCAACACAAGAAAAGGCAGCTGCCCAAGTGCAGCAGAACTCAATGAAAGGAAAAAACCCTCTACTTTCATTTTACTTTGTAAAGCAGGAAAAAAACAACAGGAAAACAACCAGTGGAACTAGCTTGTAATTAGTATTAAAAAAAAAGAAAGAAAAGAGAAAGAAAATGTACAAAGTCAAAATATTATAAAAGTCTGTACTACTTTAATGGTTATAGTTGTTGGAGCACACCGTTTTTTTTTTTTTTTTCCATTTATCATTAAAATTAAACGGAAAAACTTCTTTACAGTTAGGGTGACAGAGCACTGGAACAGGCTGCCCAGGGAGGTTGTGGAGTCCCCTACTCTGGAGATTTTCAAAACCTGCCTGGATGCAGTCCTGAGTAATGTGCTCTAGGCAATCCTGCTTTAGCAGGGGAGTTGGACTAGATGATCTCTAGAGGTCCCTTCCAACTCTGAAAATTCTGTGATTCTGTGATTCTGTATTAAACTAGAAAATACATGAAATCTATTGGATGGGATTTTTGTCAAGAGACATGAATGAAACTGCTGTTTAAGTGGTATGCACATGAAATTATATGCTTGCAGGAAAACATACTAAGAAAGAAAAGCTGACTTTAAAACCATAATGATACTTTTCTGTAATACTAAAGGCAACACTCATCACAGCATCACTTGCAGTTCAAATGACTGCACATTAAAAAATATAAAGTTATAAGATCTGCTAAGGTTTCTAGTATAGCTTTTGTGAATAGAGGAAAATGGAAACAAAAGATACAAAAAAGCATCCTGTTTAGATTTGCCAAACTGAACAGGCTAACACCACAAGGACAGCAAGACAAAACGAGATGAGAAAAATGCTTATTGTTGCCCTGAAGTCTTAGCTATATTTACAGCTATGAGGGGACTTTGACTTGTTTGATCTCCTATACCCCTCAATCTAGAAACCACATTCCATTAAGAGTCTAAAACCCCTCAGGAAGCAGAAACTTTAAAACATGGATCAACTCCTGAAGAGGTGTATTGGAAGAAATTCTCCAGCAAGAAGCTAAGGGTAGATATGACACCATCTTTAATTTTGCCTGATGATGAACCACATGTGAACAGAGTCAACACTGCCTTTAGCTAGAACTGTCTGCTTTGCTGGCACTAAGCTTTTCAGCCTCTAATGTAAAGATTAACAGATTCTTCTGGCTCCTCCAAAGCTTATCTCTGACTGAACCTCAAGAAGGGTTTCAGATGCAGTCTTTCACAGCATGGAAGAATGCTGTCACTACTCAGATATCCTACAGGCATGCCCTGAAAACTGTAAGCACCATTAAAACAAGTTTCTAGGTGGGTGGGGGGAGGACAATTCACTGATTGCGATGTAGTCCCGTATAGTAATTCTTCGATATAATTTATTGTCCTGGTTCCGGCAGCGATGGGGTTAATTTCCCCAAGGAGCCGGCAGGGGGCAGGTATTCCATACCACGTGACCCATGCCCGGGCTATAAGAGGAGCGAGCCGGGGCGAGGAGAGCAGTCGCTACTTGGGGGTGGGCTGTGGCGGTGCTGGTCTGCTTTGCAGCGGTACTGTAATCGTGTTTTCATCTTCCCTTTTGCTGTTCTGTTAAATTGCATTATTTTAACCCACGAGTTTTGCCCTGACGATTTCTTTTTCCACGACTGTGGGAGTTGCGCGAGCGGCTGTGTGGTTCTTTGTTGCTGGCTGAGGCCAAACCACGACATTTATGTACCAGACTATTGCCCTCTCATGTGAAGAAAAGTTAAAAGAAAGTTTCTCAGCATCAGGGTCATGGTAATAGCTCTATGCAAGGCACCCAGATGAGACAATGAGATGTTTAGTAAGAATTAAGCCTCAGTTACAATGTATTTATTTTGCTGAGTATAGAAGTTTTGGCAAATCCAATCTATATTCCTATGTATATTGAATATATTTTGCTTGATGACTATATTTTCATGTGAAGTATAAGGCTAGTTTCTGGGTATTTCTTAACATCAGAGATTTCATTTTTCTGCCAAACGTCCTCTGGAGGTCATCAAATTCTGGTCACCAGAGATCAAGAGCACTGAAGAGGATGATATAATCTGCATCTGGGAAAAAGGCCAAACCCAGCTCTTACTGATGCTCCAACTCTTTGATTCTGAAGGGAAATCTGCATTTTTTTTTTTTTTTTCCACTTAGCAAGATATCAGCTGTTTCAAGTGGCATCAAGCAGCAAAAAGGGATCTGGGACAGAAGAGCATGAGGGATTAAAAAAAATGAGGAAGGATAAGCAAGAAGGCCTAGAAATAAAATTCTTTGAAAAATCTTTATTACTGATGCAAGAAGTTGTCAATGTTAATTACAACTAAACTGCTGTCAAGAGAAATCTCCTCCACTAAATGGAGCTGATTACACTTCAAATTAACATAAACAACAGTCACTGATATGCTGTAGAAGAGCTGACACTTTGCATTAGCACTACTTCTGAAATGCTTTCCTTTGATGTTTTTTTTTAAATCTATTCCTGATAGAATCTGAGCATTTTTCAAGATGTCATGAATGTCCCCAGCCTCCGGGGAGCTCTCCATGTGCACCTCCAGCCTCCAGACACCTGCAGAAATGTAGTTCCAGTGATAAATATGATTACAAGTCCTTAAGGATGAGAGTGTAGCTGCCCTCTCCCCTCACTGCAGCAGCACAGATAAAGGAATTAATTTGGTTCCTTCCAAGCAGAAGGATACAATAAATACAGCCACAAAGGTATGCAATGTCTGTGTTTAGTGTGGTGGTGTAGCTATGGACTATGAGACAAAGGGCAAGATGTCAGTAAATCCCTTACAGCTCTACCACTAATCCAGGCAACTCTTCATGAGAGTGGAAGGCATGACATGGAAGTTGCTGATCATTCCTGGAAAACTCAAAACCCTGTGCCCCTGTGGCATGCTCTTTGATAGCTCAAACAGCCTTGTGCACTACTGAGAGTAAGTACTAACGCTCAAGAGATTTACTGCCTGGCTCATCCTAAGGCTGTGCCTTTTAAGACGAGTTCGAGTTATACAGTAGAGACCTAAACAAGAAGCAAGCACGGCAGATGCCATTCGCTCTGAAGCTTTAGCTCTTTATCCAGACAACTGTGTACAGATCCTGTACTCGTGGCTTTGGCTCTAGCATTTTGGGTTTTTGCACATTTGGGGGAAATAGACAATATGCTGAAGAGAACATGAGTCCTGAATGCTAGAAATACTTGGCTTCTAGTTAGAACTAAAGTGCTGGTTTGTTTTTTTATTTTTTTTTTTTGTGTTCCATTGATACAAACTTTGAGGGATTGAGGTGGTGAAAAATGGGCACCTAAAACCAGAAAACGCTATTGAAGCTTTTCTCTCAAGTCTATTAAATCTTAAAGATTTTTTTCAAAATCATTTCTTAAATCATGTGTGTTTTTTTTTTCTTCAAAAGCACCAAACTGAAGAGCTACTCTTATTTTCACAGTTCTACTAGTAAATGTTTCTGTTGAAATATGATCTGAACTGTGAGCTTCTCAGTGGAATACACAGTTTAAAGGGTTTCTTTAACTAAGAGCACTTCTGAGCAAATGCCTATTAATGCATTAGGCATAAAATACCCCCCTAACTCTCTTGTATAATCTTGTTTGAAAGTTTCATCCTTGCTCTTGACATCTCATCTATGATTTCATTTTCTTTGTTAATTAACACAGCAAAACATTTCTAGTGACTATAGTAGACTTTTGTTACTGTAAAATCTGCCTCTGAAATCTGGATAGCATCATGACTTGCGCTCCTTCTTCTATATAACATGGGAGGTTAAGATGCTATTTCTTCATCTCACTGAAAAGCCTGTACTATCTGAATAGGTACTGAGCATTATATAGATAGCTCTCTGAATGTAATATATATATTGTCCTGAGCTTTCAGATGCTTCATATGTCAGTCATGAGTCATCAGTAAGAATTTAATGGAGGGTAGCAGTCCTACTTCTTTCACAGCTTGTTGTTGTTAAAGTCTTTTAATTGGAATTTCTTTGCATCTGTGTATGGGACTGCTGAGTACTGATATATGACACTGTATCCAGTCTACTCCAAATAGCCCCTTAAAAGTTGCATTTATAACAATACAAAATCCTTATCCCCTATGACATAGGAGTGTTTCTCTATTATGACCAAGCCAAATACAAGCTACTTAACAAAAGTATTTTCAGAGAAAAATTTGCGGCAGATTAACAGAGTAACCCAAATATCACAGTATGTTGGTTGCTGTTGTGAAAAAGGATTTTGGGGATGAAGCAACTTAGCATATCACAGCAGATGCAAAGTACTTTCTAAATATTTATTGATATGAATATAACACATGGAATCTAATTACTTCCAGTTCAGCATTTTGAAAGCTTTAAGCTTAAACTTAAACCAGATACTACCATTTAACCGTGGTCTCCTAAGGTAAATGGAAACACTCCTAGTGAGCCAAAGGCTTTCTGAGTTCTTAATTCTGTATAGCACTGGTTGAATACGAAAATGAACTTAAAAGGCTAGGGAGAAAATGTCCTACAAAGTATTTGATCCAGTTGCTGCTTAATCACAACACCAGCAATAACATGAAAGTAGCAATTGGAGCAGAAATACTCACCTTAACAGGGTTGGTAATTATTTTTGATGTAGGAATTTGACATTACCAATGGCTATTATCTTTGTCTCAATAAAAGAAAGGAAGGAGAACTATGGAGTTTTTCTCATGCGTGCGTACAGTGCCTTAAGCAGCTGCTGAATCTCTGGAAAAAAACCCTCAAAATTGTCTCGTATGTCATGTAACTGAACGTACTAACAAAGTAATCTCCAGAACTTATAAAGAGGAAAGTTTTTTGGCTTGCCAATCATAAGTAACTCATAGGACAGAAGTTCTGCAAGGCTGCACTTAAATAATGTATATCTGTTGAGTTCAATAGCTCTAATTTGTCTTACACTAGAAGAGCAATTTCCTCATACAGAAATCAGTCTTAGAATGAAGCTACTACTCAATATGCTTGTCTAATCCTGGTATCTTGCAAAGCTTATATCCCCTAGCAGAAAGACACTGAACAACTTTGATTCCCTCTTATTTTACTGGGAATTTTGACTGCTGAATATTTCTCAAAGTTAGGCCTTCTTGATTTTCTTTTTTTTTTTTTTTCCCATTTATGGAGAGTGTGTGTGCACTCCCATGAGCAAAGGTGGAAGGGAAGGAGTTGTGATGTGCTCCAAGCAGCCAAATTAATCAGTCCTTGTCTTAAAACCCTGTAACTGAAGTAATTTGTATGCAGATTATACAAACTTCAGAGGAAAAATTAATCAATGTCTTTGTCATTATTCATAAATCTAAAATCTAATTTACAGGAAGTGTACTTAGAACTGCAAATAACATCTTCCATAGGAGTGAATAAATGGACTCTATTTAAATACCTTACATAAATGATCCCAAAAAGATCATTTAATAAATGCCTACCTTTGGTGGGGGAAGACAACCAAAAAACCCCAACTAGGCTTACCATTTCTCTCTAAACCCAATGTAAATAATGATATGGCAGCTTTATGGTTAGGGTTGAATTCCCTGGTATTTCTTGCATATTAGGCAAATAAGTCACTGTGGTGTTATGAATGTCTTTGGGTTTAAAAAAATATTTATTTTGGGCAATCTCCTTCCTGTGGCTGTAGGATTATAAAGGACCAGCACAATATTGGACTGTCTTGGGTCAGAATTTCTGTCCTGTGAGTTACTTACAATTGGCAAGTGAAATCTCACCCGTTCTCATAAATGGAAAAAAGATAATTGTTAGATCAGGCCAGATCCCTCCCTCTTCATAAAATCTCGCTTAGATGAGACCAAACTCTTAGTTGGATGATACCCGGGGCAAGAGAAGCAAGACGAGTTAGCACCTTTAGCAGAGGAGTTAATCCCCCAGCTCACCAGTAAGTTTCTCAAGCTAGAGGCAGGCTGTATTGTGCTCTGTGTGTTCCATTGCTGCTGTAACCAGTGCTGCTGAGGTCGCAGTGTTGATTTGCACTGTGCAAGAAGTCACACAATGTCTTCTGGCCTTTGGATGTCACCACTGTTGTCTTTGAATTGTCACTTTTGGCAGAATATCTTGAAGATTATTGAAGAATTTGAGTAAGAATAGAATGAATCTGTCCTTGACTGGGCGGTGCCTTGCTCCAAGTAACTCTTTAAATGTGACCAGATCGCAGGGCAGGTGAAAGTTTGTGGTGTGAGTTTTGTTCTGTAGTATCCTCTTGGCTCGCCAATGTATTTGGTTGCTTGCACAAAGTCTGTGATTTTTGACCTACAAGAGTGATGGCAGTTTAGCATCCTCTGCGTTACCTGTACAACAGTCTCCAAAAACATAGCCTTTTATAACCATTAATGGGAATATTCCCACTATTTAACATTTTTCTGTGGCCGGTGAAAATTATAGGCTACTTGTGGATTTCTTTTGAAAAGCTAGTTAGTTACTTCTGAATATCTTTATTTCTGAAAATACAGGTTTATTGACTTTCCATCTCAGTAGTCAATAACTACTGCATTCCTGAAAATGTAGGCTTTTAAACTTAATCTAGCTAGAATAGATTCTTACGTTACTCACTGAAATGTCTCAGCCTCTTTTGGAGTTCGTTAAGTATTTTGTTTTGGTAGTTATGTTGTTATTGATATCTTCACAGATTAATTATCAGACTTTCAGAAGAAACACACCATTCCTAATTTTTTGTACTTCAATTTCATTGTGTTTGTGCATGATGAGATTAGTAAACAGAGACACCAGTTGTTTTTTGTTACTACTTGATGATGGTAATAACAATGTACTACTTTGGATGAAAGTTCTGGGTTTTGGTTTGTTTGTTTTAATACTGATGCATTGTTACTTCATGGTCATTCTGTGCCAATTTATTTTTCTGGAGCTCAGTTTCAGTTCTCAAGCATAAGCTGTTACTGTTCTTGAAAATAAAACTTTGTATTATTTCAATACTTCCTTCTTTAATGCGTCACTGTATATACTAATGTTGAGTCTTTAACTCTTAATATTATCAGTTGAAAAGAGAAAAATAGTTGCTATTTCTTTAAGATATTTCATCAGAATAGTAATCTAACTCCCATAAAAAACTAAATGTACCTTAAATGGCATTAGTAATTATGTTACGTTGTTGGTTGGTTGGTTGGTTGGTTTTTTTTATAACTGAGAGTTATGATTCCACGTTAGGTTTTTGCCCTTTTATTTACATAAAGTTTACATGGAATGTATCTTCTTCTGTAGAATAATACAGTTGGCCATGTCTTTACATCATATTTATCAACCTACATAAAAGGGAGAGGAGAAGAAGGGAGAGTTGACCGAAACCTGGCTGGTTTTATACGCTTACAAATCCCTGTGTCTGTCTTAACAGGTGAAAAACCATTTGAATGTCCAAACTGCCATGAACGTTTTGCTAGGAATAGCACACTCAAATGTCACCTGACGGCCTGTCAGTCTGGAGCTGGAGCTAAAAAGGGAAGAAAGAAGCTGTATGAATGTCAGGTGGGTAATGGAAGTAGCAGAGCCTGAGGCTAGATACCTCCTTCCTGTGCTGAGGGAGTGTGGGAGTACTGAGCAGGAAAGGCAATGAGAGTGGGTTTATGTCTCCAAGAACTACTTATTATATAAAGATTGCATTCAACCACAACATGAGGGTAAATTCGTATATCTAAGTAGTTCTATTGGAATACTGATATGGAGTTTCATAATACTTTGAGATATTCTTGTGGGTAGGTAAGTATTCATCTGCATCTTAGTGACCTTTCTGCTTCTTTCTCAAGGTTCTTGATGCACTGACCTAGGCCTTTCCTGCTTGTGAGCATGCTTCACTAAAGTCCACTTGCGCACACTATTAAGGCCTACAATATTGTACTTTACTGTCTTTATGAAGCTGCTAAAATGGAAAATATGAAACAGCAGCTGACATTGTGATCACAAATCAACATTTATACCTTCCAGGCCATTAGAACCTTTTAAATATTATTTTCACTTTTGCTCCCAAAACTAGTCTCTAGTAGGATACATTAGAAATTCACGTCGAAGCTACAGGTAGGAGATTAAAAAAATTGTTTGAAAAGTGTTTTCTCCTTCCACCCTGTCCTGGTTCCGGCAGGGATGGGGTTAATTTCCCCAAGGAGCCGGCAGGGGGCAGGTATTCCATACCACGTGACCCATGCCGGGGCTATAAGAGGAGTTAGCGGAGCTAGCCGGGCGAGGAGAGCAGTCGCCACTTAGGGGTGGGTCGCGGCGGCGCGGGTCTGGTCAGTGCGCTTCGCGGCGGTACTGTAATCCCGTTTTCATCTTCCCTTTTGCTGTTCTGTTAAATTGCATTATTTTAACCCACGAGTTTTGCCCTGACGATTTCTTTTTCCACGACTGTGGGAGTTGCGCGAGCGGCTGCGTGGTTCTTTGTTGCTGGCTGAGGCCAAACCACGACACCTCCCCGTTCTTAGAAACAAAAAACCCCCCTAAGATATTGTAAATCTAGAAAGCAGAATTTAAGAAAACCCATTGCACAGTCTCATTGAGGGGATCGAGTGCACCCTCAGTAAGTTTGCAGACGACACCAAGTTAGGCAGGAGTGTCGACCTGCTTGAGGGTATGATGGCCCTACAGAGGGATTTGGACAGGCTGGATCAATGGCCCAAGGCCAATGGCATGAGGTCCAAGTGCTGGAGGGTATTGGTTGACAGCTGGCTGAATATGAGCCAACAGTATGCCCAGGCATCCAAGAATGCCAACAGCATCCTGGCCTGTATCAGGAACAGGGTGGCGAGCAGGACTAGGGAAGTGATTGTCCCCCTGTACTCGACACTGGTGAGGCTGCACCTTGAATACTGTGTTCAGTTTTGGGCCCCTCACTACAAGAAAGACATTGAGGTGCTGGAGCGCATCCAAAGAAGAGCAACGAAGCTGGTGAGGGGTCTGGAACACATGTCTTATGAGGAGCAGCTGAGGGGACTGGGGTTGTTTAGCCTGGAGAAAAGGAGGCTGAGGGGAGACCTTATCGCTCTCTACAACTACCTGAAAGGAGGTTGTCATGAGATAGGTGTTGGTCTCTTTTCCCTAGTAGCAAGTGATAGGAGAAGAGGAAACAGCCTCAAGTTGAGCCAGGGTAGGTTTAGATTGGATATCAGGAAAAATTTCTTCACAGAAAGGGTTGTTAAGCATTGGAACAAGCTGAGCAGGGAAGTGGTAGAGTTGCCATCCCTAGAGGTATTTAAAAGATGGGTAGACGTGCTGCTTGGGGACATGGTTTAGTGGTGGTTTTGGCAGTGTTAGGTTGATGGTTGGACTTGATGATCTTAAAGGTCCCTTCCAACCTAGACGATTCTATGATTGCTTCCCACCCTCCACTTCCTTCTGCAATGTAAGCTTGGGTAGGGGCAATCACTTACACTAGCACATGCCTCAGGATGTTTCCAAATGTCAAATACCACTTATAAAGAAGAAAAACATGTATGCAAACACAAGTACGTAAAGAATACCAACACTTTCAAAATACAAAAATTAACTAAATCATCAATAAATATTGTGCTCCAAGAGAAGCACCACTTTAACTGGGTGATAAATAATTGCCTAAAGAATAGATATTTCCAAATATGTTACAATAAAGCAAACCTGTAATTATAAACTCAGGCCTCTGGGCTGTGACATTTAGTAGCCTACCAGCATCCGAAAGGAAACAACACTGACACAAAAGCAACAACCTTACATTTTTTGACTTACAAAATAGTTAAATGATGAAACTATAGAGATAAATCCTAACCTGGACTCGAATACCAGTGCTGGGAGAGCAAACACAGTCCTGGCTGCTGCACGCAGTGGCCCATGGCCTCATGGAGCTAGGGAGCTACTGGGGTGACAGGTCTAAGGGGGCATCCAGAGACTCACCTGAGCTCATTCCAGACACCATTCCCAGCCCAAACTAAGAGGCAATTCCACCGTACAGCACACGAAAGCTGGGAGTAAAGTGATGGACAATCTGTTAGTAAAATAACTTAAGTCCAAAATACAAAGTACTATTTCATTCCTGTTTCATTATTCTTCTGTTTAATACCAATATATTGACTTTGTCTGGAAAGTCATTCCAACTTATGATGACAATCTGTAATGTCTTTTAAGCAAATATAAACACTGTAGACGGATAGCTAGGGTACTTGGTCACTATACATAGCTGACATTTGAAAAGCTGTTCAGAAGAATGTTACTTAGCTTTTAAAAGCTGATTCTGAAAAGCTAGAAAATATGAGAACTGAGGTTGGTTGTAGCATTTTTATTTGCCATTTTGTTGCTCCACCGCTGTGATTGTCCCAAATACGAACACACTTCCCCCTCTCCCCACTTAAGGCTCTCACCTTATTCAGTTCACAGAATGGCTGTGGTTTGAGGTTAAATTGGGTTGTATAGTAAAGAAAACTGTTGGATATCAGCTTTATTTGTTAAAAAAAAAAAAAAAAGTGATTTTATTCACAGAAAGCAGTGAATACCGCAGGAGACGAATGAATTCTGTGTGTTGCTAATCAAATCATTTAATCGGAAGTTTCACCGATGCTGTTGCATCGTTTAGTTGTTATGCTAGTCTGAAATTAATTCTTGGGAGCTTGAAGTTTTCCTGAAGTTTGTTTTGAACATGAGAACTACTGTATAACACAAAATTGTACCTAGTAGCTTCATTGAAGATACTGTTTTGTCTTTATGACCCTTTGGTTTATTTGCTTCACCTAATAACCTTCTCTGTTACAGATATTGTGAATGTGGGTTAGCGTTATTTCAGCTTGCATCAACTACAGCAATTCTTGGATAAATTTTTCTTGACTTTTTTTCTCTTTAGAACTAAATCTGAATAGTGTTCAATAAATAAAATCTTGGTTCACTGAACAAAGAGGAGAAAGCAAAACTGCGCTTGCTTAATGAGCACTTTTGGTGCTCTTCATTGTATGCCTTGAGTACTGAATTAGGCTGTGTGGCAAGAACAGTAATTATGTGCTTGGGCATTACTGATAGTCATTACCTTTATGTATGACTCAGTAATTTTGAGTGCTTATCTATAAGGTTAGTATTTTTAGAAGTGTGTGTGCAACTTCTTTCTAAAGTATGAGCCTGGGGGGGACAAAAAGCATGTCACTAGCATCACAAACATAGAATCATAGAATGGTTTGAGTTGGAAGGGACCTTAAAGATCATCGAGTTCCAACCCCCCTTGCCATAGGCAGGAACACCTTCCACTAGACTAGGTTGCTCAAAGCCCCATCCAACTTGGCCTTGAACACTTCCAGGGATGGGGCATCCACAACTTCCTTCGGCAACCTGTTCCAGTGTCTCACCACCCACGCAGTAAAGAATTTCTTCCTAATATCTAATCTAAAACTACCCTCTTTCAGTTTAAAACCATTACCCCTCATCCTATTGCTACACACCCTGATACCCCATCTTTCCTGTAGGCCCCCTTTAGGTACTGGAAGGCTGCTATAAGGTCTCCCCGGAGCCTTCTCTTCTCTAGGCTGAACATCCCCAACTCTCTCAGCCTGTCCTCATAGGAGAGGTGCTCCATCCCTCTGATCATCTTTGTGGCCCTCCTCTGGACTTGCTCCAACAGGTCCATGTCCTTCTTATGTTGGGGGATCCAGAGCTCGATGCAGTACTCCAGGTGGGGTCTCACGAGAGCAGAGTAGAGGGGCAGAATCACCTCCCTTGACCTGCTGGCCACACTTCTGATGCAGCCCAGGATGCGGTTGGACTTCTGAGCTGCGAGCGCGCATTGCTGGCCCACGTTGAGCTTCTCATCAACCAACACCCCCAAGTCCTTCTCCTCAGGGCTGCTCTCAATCCGTTCTCCGCCCAGCCTGTATTTGTGCTTGGGATTGCCCCGACCCATGTGCAGGACCTTGCACTTGGCCTTGTTGAACCTCATGAGGTTGGCATGGGCCCACCTCTGGATGGCATCCCTTCCCTCCAGTGTGTCGACCTCTCCACACAGCTTGGTGTCATCTGCAAAATTGCTGAATGTGCATTCAATCTCACTGTCCGTGTCGCCAACAAAGATGTTAAATAGTACTGGTCCCAGTACCAATGCCTGAGGAGCACCACTCGTCACTGCTTGCCATTTGGACATCAAGCCATTGACCGCAACTCTTTCAGTGTGACTATCCAGCCAGTTCTTTATCCACTGAGTGCTCCATCCATCAAATCCATGTCTCTCCAATTTAGAGACCAGGATGTCAAATGCTTTGCATAATTCCAGGTAGATGATGTCAGTTGCTCTCCCCTTATCCACCAACGCTGTAATGTCGTCGTAGAAGGCCACCAAATTTGTCAGGCACAATTTGCCCTTAGAGAAGCCATGTTGGCTGTCACCAATCGCCTCCTTATTTTCCATCTGCCTCAGCATAGTTTCCAGGAGGATCTGCTCCATGATCTTGCCGGGCACAGAGGTGAGACTGACCGGCCTGTAGTTCCCTGGGTCTTCCTTTTTACCCTTTTTAAAAATCGGAGTTATGTTT